CCCCAAAACCCCAAAACCCCAAAACCCCTAGTAGCTAAGATTTGAATTTTGAAATGAAAATGGTAAAGACAATACAAATATTATATAACTTTTTATACTCTATCGATATGCTAGATCAACTGTACAACGTAATTAAGCTCTTTGATAGCCATCAAATCTCGTTTAATGAAGCTGAAATATCTATAGAAACTGAAAGTCTTCTTCATGCGTTCGTGGGATCGTTCGACTAGTTTGTAAGTTTGATTCTGCTATTTACAAGTCTAGATGGCCAACAATGAAATGCAAGTAAAAGCTGCATGTGGAAAAGACTCCATGTATATTCGGAATCTTTGTTTAGATTGCCTCTTGCCTGCAGGTCAGCTATCTTACCCTGAATACTTAGAACAAGGTCCATCTGCGACAAGCTAACTAAACTGTATCGTATACCAGACTTGCAAACGGAGAGGAAAAGATGAATGCTTTTGTACTGGTTCTCTCAATAATTTCGCAAAGACTAGCGTTATCTATCCTCAATACAGAATTGCTGAATCAAGCTGATTTCCGAATGCAAATCTTTCGCTAACGAAATGGTCAGTCAGTGCATAAACTCTTGAATAAGTGCTAAACAATTTCCAGGAGCCCTCATTGCTTCAGATCATCTACATAACCGCAGAGGAATTCATCATTCGAGAAGAGGGTAACTTTGAATCTAGATTTAAAAATCAGAGACTCTCCTACAATCTGAAGACTTAGAGGGCTTGATATACCTCAAATGAAAAAATAAGCTCCAGATTCATCTCAGTCCAAACATTTTTGGGAATCTTGAGCAATGTCGGAAAATTCTTGAATTATTGGTTGACGAAGTATTCAGGCCTGGGATTTCTCACAGTCTAAAAAAATAGTCAAATAGAGTTGGAAATGAATTTCAGGATATTATAGGCAGATTGTAATATTAAGGTTAGTATTTTCTCAATATCAATAATAATTTAATAAGTTTCTTTTAGACAGACTGCATGGACGCTAAGAATTTTTAAGATAAGAAGCAAGACCTTGGAGAACTAGCTATAGATTTACATCTTGACGTCAGAAATCTTATCGGCTTGGCAAAGCTAAAAAGGTTTACTGCGATCCATCTGGACAGGACCATCAGAGAATCGGCTCCGCCAGACTAAGACCTGTTGCCTGGTTCATTGGACCTCAGAACGTAAACTATCCAAGTCGGAATTCTTAAACTCTGGCTTGACAGCATTGCTACCGATTCATTTGAGTTGGGAAGACTCTATGATCGTGCCACCCGTATGTACGCAGCTTGTGATCGTGAGCACATGCATCGCAACGATCGCTTTAAACAGGCTGTCGCAGCCTTGCTTGACGAGGCGGGACTCTTCAATGCTGATGATAAAGCGGAGGAAAAAAAAGAGTCAAAAGGTATCCGGTAGGGGGATCCTAGCCTGGATGAGTCGAGGAGAAGTCACTTCAACTAACCTGGCGGGCAATCGAGGCTGAAACAATCGCAATCAGTGGAAAAACATCGGGCTAGAAAGGGTGGCTTATTGCAACCACAAGAACGTCATGGGCGGAGTCTTGGAGCAACCTCTTCCATCAATGAAGATGATAGTCAAGGGAAGGATGGCAGTCGAAAAGAAAAATAGGATAATACTTCGGGAAACCTCCAACTGAATGCCTCGGTGAATAGTTTTATCTCGGTGCACAGTAATTAGATGCTCACTCCTTCTGATGGAAATATGGATGAGGATAAGGATGAAGCTTAGAAGGAGGAAGGCTCTGACAAGAAAGGGCTTTGAGGTAATCATTGAGTTTTGCTAAATATCTTGACCTCTTGAAACTAAGACCAGTATATAATATATATATATTGATCTTTATTAACTCTTCATTTTATATCTTCTTAAGATACTTTTCAGATATAGCATAGCGGGGTTTTGGGGTTTTGGGGTTTTGGGG